ACCCAAAAGATTGAAGAAGGGCTGAAAAAGGACTTAAAATGTCCAAATAAATAGTTGTGGACATATTTCTTTTATAATCTTCCTTGTATTTAGACCAGGGGAGATCACAAGTTATGGAGATCCAAGTGATCACTTTGTAAATAGCACTGGCATTAAAGTTTACTGCCTAATCTGGGACAAGCACTTCTGTTGATCCTCATTCTTCAGCTGTGATCCACAGGAACCTCACTGGGGTTGACTCCCCCCATGACTGGGGGTATGGGCAGCATTGCCTCCTCCATGACCAAGCCCTTAGATGACTGATGCCTGGGGACTTTAGGTAGCAACTAAGATGCATCTGTACAAAGAAGGATATGATCTCAGTTTCCAACGAAACCACGGAGATCCCTGTTGTACTGTGGTCTGGGAATAGGAATAGAGGAAAAATATTAACCAAGAAATGCTGCACCATTCCTTATAGTCTGTGAAAGCCCCTAGTAAAAACTAAAGAACATTACTGCTACTGAAAACACTGTTCAAACTCTAATCTGGGTCCTTTGAACTTGTCAGTTTTATCTCATAAGCTCACTTTGGTTCATGCAGGGGGGCCAGGGGAAGAGCAAGAATTGTGTTCTTCAGCCATCAAGCCACTGGGAGATGTCAAGCTGTCAGGCTCTGATGGAGGGAGCCAGAGAAGCTGATGAAGTCACATAAGAATGAGACAGCATCTCTTCTCTCTTCTCCACTCTTTCCCCTTCTCTCTCTTCTCTCTTCTCTCCAGCACTGTTCTAAAGTTGACCTCAGCTACATAAGCAGAAGCTTACGAGAGAATGAGAAGGGTGAATGCCAGTAAATTACTTCTCACATTCAGTAGTGCAACAGTGTTTTAGAGTGGGAGAGAAGGTCAGTTCACCATAGCCCAGGTTTTACCTGCTATGTGTGAGCACACGCTCTCTATGTACCTTTACCAGGGTTCATAAAGTGGTTTGCACTGGGAGTAATGCAAGCTGAATTATTTATTTCTCTTAATGCAGATCATCATAAATTGTTGGGGAACTGCGAGAGTATTTGTTAATACTTATTTGCAAAGGCTGAGGTTTGCAAAATATGTGATATTCCTGGAGGCCCTCACTGTCACAGTGAAAACAAGGATTCAGAGAATCTAAATGGGAATTTTGCTCTTGAAATTGGTAAGCCTGGGATGAGGACCAGGACTCTCAATGTATTGATTGATGAATTGCCCTGATTCAGCTACTGAAAAGTTACAGAGCAGGCAAATCACAAATTAACAAATTCCAAATAATACACTTTTCTTGCAGAAAATCTTTATATATCCTTGTGTGCTGAGCAGTCCAGCTGACTAGCATGGCACTCCTTTAGTTTCTTTGCTTCCCCCAACTTTCAGCAGTGGTCAGTCTGTCCACAGTTAGTTTCTCCGTTGGGAGGAGCTGTCATTTCGAGGCTATTTTGAAATTGCCCATCTGTGTGGGCTTTGCTACAAAAAATTAGAATCATGGAATTAGATGAGTTGGAAAAGACCTTTAAGATCAAGTCCAACCATTCCCAGCACTGCCAAGGCTACCACTAAACAATGTCGCTGAGGGCCTCTTCTGCATGGTTTGTGAGCACTTCCAGGGCCAGTGATTTCACTGCTGCCCTGGGCAGCCTGTTCCAATGCCTGACTGCCCCTTCAGGAAAGAAACTGGTCCTGATCTCCAGTCTAAATCTCCCCTGGCACATCTTGAGTCCATTTCCTCTTGTCCCATCTCTTGTTTCTTGGGAGCAGAGCCCAGCCCCCTCCTGGCTCCATCCTCCTTTCAGGCAGTTGTAGAAAGCAGTAAGGTCCACACTGAGCCTTTTCTTCTCCAGACTAAACCTCCCCACTTCCCTCAGCCATTCCTCATCACACTTGTGCTCCAGGCCCTTCACCAGCTCCGTTGCCCTTCTTTGAACCTGATGTTAAATAAATAGGTGAATAGTGTGCTGCCAGTCCCCTGTAATGACCAGGGAGCAAGAAGGCTGATATATCTAGACAAACAGCTGTCTTGCAGATTGACAAGCAGATAGATTTCTTTTGTTATACATGACTCGCTGCTATGCTGGTTTCCCTTTCATTCATTTAGCTATGGTTGCTCTCAAGCACATCTGTGCTACAGCCATTTTTCACCTCAGTTTATTTGCCAATATAAGGTATATATAAGATACTCCTCGTGCTCAAACCGAGAGTAACACTGAAAACCATCCTTTCATGTAGCAGAATATATAGAGTGCTTTGAAGGCCCTGCAGTGAGACAGCTGATCAGTGTGATCTAAGACTTCAAGGCACACAGAGTGCTCAAGAGCACAGGTTGAAATTCAGGTCTTGGCCTTGAGCTTTGCTTTTACGTGTTCTTGTTGGCTGTTTTTTTGCTGCCTTCCAGTTTTGAAGTTGCTGATGCAAGATGATCATGCTTCCTGTAGCCTCTCTGGAGTGCCAGAAATTGTCAGAGTTGCCATAGAGAAACTAGTGTAGGCAAAACAAAAAGACCAGAGAAATCCAACTGACAAACCAGCCAGACCCCCCAAACTTTGAGATTCTGATGTTTCCTATAATGGCAGTTGTGGCACTGGTTCAATACATCGTTATTGACATATTTCAAAGTAAGCTCATTTATCATGTTCTTGCATCTTCAAAGCTTTCTTTTTTCCTATGGAAAGAACATAAGGCCTAATTCCTAAAGGATATAACCTACATACTGAGGGTACACATTGAGCTGCTGTTTTACTATGCAAAACTCTAATCCCAAATATAAATAGACATCTGTTAGCTATTTGCATGCATGAAAGATGGTGGATGCGTCCACACAAAACTCCTTTGTTTTGGGGGAAGAGCTCGGTGATGCTGAGTTACCATGGAGTGGAAAAGGAATGAAATAATCCATGCTTTTTTGTCAGCAAGAACAGTAACAGCTCGAAGAAGCTTAATTCATTTACACCAAATAGACACTGACTTTACATATTGATTATATTACTGATTTATGCTGTTTATTTCTTCAGTGTTTGGGCTTCATTTTCTTTCTTTTGTTTCTTTTTTTCCTGGGGAGTACTTATTTTTATGGGCTTCCCTTTCATATATTCTTCTTTCTTTCCTCCAAAACAATGCCATAGTTTTAGAGGGTGAGCACAATCAGAGCACCTGCACTTGAAAAGGTCAGATATTGACACAAATTAAAGCACTGTCATTTTCTTTAAGGTTCAGCTCTTCTAAGAGGAAATTATTTCTTGCGAAGCTCCTTGGCAGATGTTTCAGTGGTATGTAGATTGTGATGTAGAGCACCAATTCAGTTAACTTGTTACATGCCTGAAAGCTGAGCTTTGCTTGAGGTGGCTGTTCTGAGCAACCTTAGCCTCAAAGTCTAGGTTCATACTGATTACAGATAGAAGTTGGAAGAATGATTTTTTGACCTTGATGTGCTGAAGGCCAAAGAACCAGTGAGATGTCTTGTGATCCTGATGGTAAAGCTTCTTTAGGATAAGCACATGGTCTCGTATCATCATGACTAAGCCTCTGTGAGCCATAGAGCCATAGAATCAGCTAGGTTGGAAAAGACCTTCAGGATCATCAAGTCCAACACCATGATGCAGGGGATAGATTCCTGTGAGAGATCCTGAGGATTGTCAAATTATAAATGGATAAATTATAGGAATACTTCATAACAGTTAAGTCATAAAGTAAGAGAATACGGTAAGATGTAAGAAAACTGTAGCATATGATATAGGTAATGAAGCACCGAAGCCACAGTAGAGTTTGATTACCTAGAGGAAATCAGTTAAACAGTTGGCAAGGATTGATAATGCCATCTTGCTTAGAAAGCACCAAAAGCACAGTCCCAGTACTGAATGAATGAACAGCAGTCAGTCATTTGTAGACAGTGAGTGAAAAAAATAATAGAATCATAGAATCCCAGATTGGTTTGGGTTGGAAGGGGCCTTAAAGATCATCCAGTTTCGGCCCCCTGCCACAGGCAGGGACACCTTCCACTAGACCAGGTTGCTCCAAGCCCCGTCCAACCTGGCCTTGAACACTGCCAGGGATGGGGCAGCCACGGCTTCTCTGGGCAACCTGTGCCGGTGCCTCATCATCCTCATAGACATAGCTAGGTGATAGTAATATGTCTTCTCAACTGCAGTTGACCCCAGACAGCTATGTTAAGATGATACATATATACAGCTGGTTCTCTTATAATATGTTCTAGCTAAATCAGGTTAGTTGCCTTGCTGTCAAATAGCCAGATTTTTTCTGGCAGTGAAAACATAAACTGACTGTACTGACGGTAGAAGAACTTCATCAGATGGAGTGAGGGTGGTGAAGGTAGAAGCTCATGTTCTTAAGAAGGGAGTAGAAAGTATCCCATTTGGTTGTGTTGTTGAAGGGTGGGTGGTTTGTGTTGTTTTTTTTTTGTTTGTTTTGTAGTATTTTCTTTTTTTCCCTTTCATTTTCTTTTTTCCTGTTTTTCATTTTTAATTTTTATTTTTTTTTTTTTTCCCCTGAGCTGGTTCTGGTTTCATGAGTGTTTTTTTTTTTTGTGTTCCCTTGCTGTATATATTTGTTGGGAAATATGCTATGCAGAGGGACAGAGCCTACCCGAATGATTTGGTTCATGATGATTTACTGTGAGGGTGGCGAGACACCGATCTAATACCTGAATGCAATATCAAAGCCATGACATTCTTAAACAATTCAAAAGAATTCATTTGGATTTCACTTTACTGCAGTTATCTGTTAAGGAGCCGTTTTTAGAAAGTCATTCCTGTTTAACTGCTCTGGCATAGTGCAGTTTCTTACCTAAGGAAAAATTCTGTAAGGTTTCTTGCTGATGATCTGAAGAATGTGAGTGAGAGCTGGCAGATGGCTTACAGATATCACTCTGAAATATCTTACACTGACAAATAACGACGGTGTGTATAATTAGCACTCTGCAGATGGTATGCAAAACGATCTGCACTTAGTACAGAAATTCTTTCCTTTTTTTTTTTGACAGACTATTTTTCAGAGTAAATTTTGAAGACATGGCTTGTAATGCTGCTCAGGATAGACCCAGGTGTAGTTGAGAAGCTACTCCCCATCTGGTTCTGTGTCAGAAGAGCCCTCAGGCTTTGGGGTCCTCATCCACGTACAAGAGTGTGCTGCCACAATGTAAGTAATAAAGACATAGATCATATCAGACTAATATAAAGTTTGCAGGCTTGTAAAGAGAGGAGGTCACAACAAGGCACAGCAGAGTTATTGCTTCACTTTTATTCGTCTGAATTTGGTGAACTGTCATATATTTTTAAGCACACAATCCGTTTGCAGTCCCAGTGTCCCTTACAGCAGAAATGATGGTTCTTCCACTTTCATACTGGACCTACTGCTGATCTCTGCTGGTGTTTTTTTTTTACCCAGATGTTGGCAAAAGCAACTGGCAAAGAACAGACTTCATGACCTCTTACTGTGGTGATGTTGCTGCTACCGTTCATTTGTATTACTGTACCAGTTACCTTGTGTTGCACCACACCACAGCCTTCATCTCTGATGAGTTCTGAGAGCTCTGATGAGTTCTGATTGTGTTTGGGACTACAGAAACACAACCTAACATCTTGCTTTAGAGAACTTTCTACTCAGTATAGACTAGAGGCTACAGGTGAGCATATGCAGCTACCTGAGAGTCTGTAAGGAAACAGGGCAATGATACGTTGTCATCTTAGCATATGACCTTCTTTCAATTATATTGCTGCTGAGGACAATACACAGTTTAGAGGGAAGATGGCATAAGGAACAGTGGGAAGACAAGTGGAAAGACACCAATTCACAAATGGTGACAGGAGAGTTCATAAGCCTAATAGGGACTGGACATGTGCCTGGAGAAGAGAGACAGTTCTTCAAGAAGCAGCAGTATGTTGGATTCAAATTACAGCAGTCTGTTTTCGACTGCAGGTGTAATAAACCAGATTGATCCACCTCCATGCAGTTCGGCATGCAGGCAGAGCACTCTATTTTAATACCCCTGTGTAGCTTCACTTATACCCACCTCCAACATGAGGTCAACTGGATTTATTGCTTACTGAGAGTGAAATGAACACTTGGAGATTGAATAATTCTTTCTTTTTCAGTGTTAAGGTCTATTGTGTACATCGTTTCTGCTGCTATTCCTGGTGAGGAATACACCTCATTTGACTTTGGCATTAAGTCCACTTTCAGAAAGCTGTCAGAACAGCACACCCAGGGTGAGATCTTCTCTCAGTTCTTCTCTTATACTCAAGGCTTCTGTAACACCTTGTGCCTTTCCTGCCAATAAATACCAGCACAAATGGCTGAGGGAACTGGGAGGGTTTAGTCTGGAGAAGGCTCAGGGGGGACCTTACTGCTCTGTACAACTGCCTGAAAGGAGTATTGAGCCAGGAGGTGGCTGGTCTCTGCTCCCAAGAAACAAGGGACAGGATGAGGAAATGACCTCAAGCTGCACCAGGGGAGATTTAGACTGGAGTTTATGAACAATTCCTTCCCCAAAGGGCAGTCAGGCATTGGAACAGGCTGCCCAGGGCAGTGCTGGAATCACCATCCCTGGAAGTGTTCACAAACTGTGTAGACAAGGCCCTTAGCGACATTGTTTAGTGGTGGCCTTGGCAGTGCTGGGGAACATTTGGACTTGGTGATCTTGAAGGTCTTTTGCAACCTGGTTGATTCTGTGATCTGCAGCCCAATGGTACCTGTTCCTTAGCTTCTCCTTGAATTTGGATGGACAGTTTTGGTTATTTCTGGTACCACAGGGGCAGCAGGAGTGGCTCCTGTGAGAAACTGCTTGAAGTTTCCCCTGTGTCTGGTAGAGCCACTGCCTGCCAGTTCCTAGATGGACCTGCTACTGGCTGGGGTTGAGCCAACCCATGATGGGGGGCATATTTACTCTGGGAGCTGGGCTCTGGGGAGCCTCAGAAGGCTTCCCAGAGGTCATTGTACACAGGAAGAGATTTAGGTGGCTAAGCAAGCGCAGATCCCCATGTTGGTGGGGCTGTTCCAGGACTTGGTCGTTCCTTAGTGGCTCAGACTTGACAGTGGTTGTGTTCAGCTTTTCCCTTCAGACTTCCCTAAAGTTTCCTGTCAAATATAATGATCTTCAGTAGTAATTTAATACATAGCTGTGGTCTCCTCCCTGCCTACCAGACACCAAAAGCTAGGTGTAAATCTGAGGCTTACTATGATATTGCAATATTTTATGTGTTTCTGCAGTACATCATTTTTAATGTTGATAATTGCTTTGTGTGTCTGCAGTTAAGTGTCCTCATTTTGAAACAAGGACAGTGTGTACTGAACCAGCCAGAACATTCAAAGAGAAATTTTAGTGGGGTTTAATTTTGCTTTGAGACAAAGCCACAACATTCAGCATTTTTCAAATACTTGCCAGTGTCAGCCTTCAGTCTGCATTGTTAGGAATAGTTGGTCAAATAAGCAAAGCAGAGAGGTATTTTTTCTGTGAAGTTCATGCAGTTTTATCATTTAATTGTAGTATCTTAGATGTACTTGGAATACGTTCACACTAGGGCTGTTTTCATGATTCTTGTACAGTGTAGAGAGCTATCGGGGAAGTTGGGTTTGTTAGTAGAAGTGCTCTCTGAGCCTGCTTCCACTCTCCAGTTCAGCTCAGGTGTTTCTACAGTGGATTGTAATGGTATTACAGACCCATACAATGCCACTTTGGTTGAAGAACATGTGATAATACCTGATGTCGTGTGGAATCATAGGCAACTTGTCTCATTAAATTGCTAGATTTGTATGTAACAATAGCCATATACATTGCTAGAGATGCGCAAAGGAAAGGAACTAAATGCTTCTTGAAAATTGCTGTAATCAGCAATATATGCTTATTATATTATATCCTTTAAATGGTAGTATACACTTTTTGCTGTGTATAAATGATCCGTACACCTTCTGAGCTGTTTAGGATCTTACTTCATCCGAGAACTTGAATTTTGAGATCCTCATAGTCATTGAAATTTTTGATTCTGAAGACATTTCTGGTTAGCTGCAAGAGACTTTAAATCAGCTGAAAGTTCAGGGAGTTTCCCCCAGCTCATCTGAAGTAACTGTTGGAAGGACATCTGTGAATAAGTCTCATTGTCAGTCAGAGAACAGCGAATCCTTTTTCTTTGATTGTCCACATAAGCATTACTCTATCTAAAATACTTAACTGTGATTGTTTTTGTGACAGTACTGACAGTTATTGCATCATAATCATAGAATGGTGAGGGTTGGAAAGGACCTTAAGATCATCTAGTTCCAATAATCCATCACAATGAAATGAGTTTTTTTTTTTGCTAAGACACTGAATGCTATATGGTTGTAGAAATATATCCCCATGATAATATTCACCACCTGACTAATGGCATGCCTGGTATCGGTGGAAGAATGATCAATATGTGCTGAATCTCCAGGGTCCCAATGGCTATTTTGAAACCAAATCACCTAATAGAATTTGCTGGATAAAAGTTACATTACTTCATTCTGAAAATCTTATTCCACCACCCTTCAGGTTTTCTTGTGAGTAATGGAGCATGTTATTAGCAGCTGAAGCCCTCAGAGAATGGTGATTAGTCGTTGAATGCTAACCACCTTCCAAACGAGGGTGATGGATAGCTGACCAAACTGACAAGGAGGCTGGTTCATTACTGCAGTCATTCTGCAAACAAAGCCAGAAAGGCATTAGAAAGTTGTTAAACAACAGCAGAAGGTGGGAAGTGGATGGTACAGCCCAAGAAGTACAAACCCAGAACAGACCCATGCATTTACAACAGTGGTAAAAGAAGTTGAACAAGCTAGCATCATGGGTAGCAAAATAGAGAACGATTGCTTATTCGTAGACATTAATTTGATTGAGTTACTGTTAATGACACCTGAGGGGGAGGTTTTTACTATTGGAGTAAAAATGATAATCAGGAAGTATCAAGTGAGGAAAATTGGAAGTGTCAAATTGCACTAAAAATGGCGTATCTTGTTGCCAAATGACTGGTACCTCTGAGACAAAACATGTTCAGCACTTGCCAGGTTCCCAAAGCTGAAACTGTTATCAGCCATACAGAACTGAATTTGGGCACAAAAATAGGAATGATAATTGGGAACTACTTAGGAATATTTCAGTAAACGCCTACAAATCGATGATCTAACCCATGATCAAGGTACTGAACATGAGAGTGCCTGTGTTAAAGAAAAATGACATGTCTAGAAAGCAAATGAAAGCAAACTTAATACTTTGTTTCCCTGGCCAGTGGACAGATGCTAGCCACTTTTACGACATCTGTACTTCACTTGGTTCACTGCTTGCTTATGTGTTGTAAGTTCAGTTAAACATAGCCAACTTCATGAATCCCAGGCTGGTTTGCATTGGAAGGGACCTTAAAGCTCATGAGGTTCCAACCCCCTGCCACGAGCAGGGACACCTTCTGCTAGACCAGGTTGCTCCAAGCCCCGTCCAACCTGGCCTTGAACACTGCCAGGGATGGGGCAGCCACAGCTTCTCTGGGCACCCTGTGCCAGGGCCTCACCAACCTCATAGGGAAAAATTTCTTGCTAATGTCTCATCTAAATCTCCCCTCTGTCAGTTTAAAGCCATTCCCTCTTGTCCTGTCCCTACAGGCCCTTGTCAAAAGCCAGGTTTCTTGTCATCCCCTTTGGGCACTGGAAACTGCTCTTAGGTCTCTGTGGAGCCTTCTCTTCTCCAGGCTGAACAAGGCCAGCTCTTCCAGCCCTTGGAACATCTTTGTGGCCTCCTCTGGACTCACTCCAGCAGCTCCACGTCCCTCTTGTGGTGTTCTCCCTAGAGCTGGATGCAGGACTGCAGCGGAGAGCAATGTCATGAGCACATTACTAATACATTAACAGTCTTTAGAGGACACCAGGGGTCTAAGAGAATATAAATAATAACTTAATTGACAGCCCCCCTCAGTCCAGTTTTTCATGGGCTTCCACAGAACTTTGTGCATGGACCCCTGTGCTTTACTGAGTCTGTGTTCAGATGAATACTGCAGGCACATCTCTCACAGGGGAGAGAAGGAGAGGAGCAGGTCAGAAGGTTATTCAACAACAGCTGTGAAAAGGAAAATATTCTGTATCTACAAATCTAAATAATTTAAAAGAGTGTTCCTGGGTCATGGATGCTGGGTTTTCAGGAAGTTTTCAAAATCATGAC